CCGAAGGTCACTAATCCGGAGCATTCAGCATTCGGTAGCTTCGTTGCCCGGGATCTGACTCCACAGTCAGTGACGAAGAATGAACCTCCCGTTTAATACCATATATAAGACTTAAATTAATCCCGTCAGTCAGTGGTGGTAATATGTGCCAAATATAGGTCCAATATGAAGAGCTTGTTTCAAACGTCCGCTTACAATTACTTACTTACTACTGTTACCGCTTGAGCGAGAGCATAGACCGCCCACCTGTACAATCAGTCGAACTGTCACGGGTAATCGTTTCCAATTGTTTCCAATTGTTATTCATCCTTTTCATGCCTACTTACAATTCTCAACACAGTACGTTCTTTGGTCTCCTTCTTTTCCGTTTCCTTTCAGGATTCCAAGTTAGCAGTTGCCGCATAATTCAGTTAGATTATTTCCATAATGTATGTCCTATACAGCTCTGGGGCCTTTTCCTAATTTGCTTTTCAACTGAATGCTGGCTTATTCTTTTCCACAGTAGGCTGTTGCTGATGGTATTTGGTCAACGGACACTGATCATCCTACACAGACAACTGTTTATAAATACTTGTACATTTTTTATGGTGCTCGTAGTAGCTCTTCGAGTGTCAGCTCCATACACTAGAACTGTCTTGACGCTCGTATTGAAGATTTTAGCTTTTGTATTGATTGACCGTTGTTCTAGGTTCTGTATGTTCTTCAGCTGTAGGAATGTGGCTCTTGCTTGACCAATACCCCTCTGTATGTCTGCATCAGATCCTCCACTTTTATTGATGATGCTACTCAGATAAGTGGAACTTTCCACCTCTTCTAAAGTTTCTCCATCAAGTGTGATTGGGTTGGTGTTCTCCATGTTGTAGTTAAGAATCCTGCTTTCTCTTTTGCATATGTTGAGGTTCACTGATTCAGAGGCTTCTGCTATACTAGCTGCCTACATTCGCATTTGTTGGCATGTATAAAATAGAAAAGCCAGGTCATCCGCTAAATTCAAATTGATTAACTGAATCCAAGCTGACCACTGTATTCCGTGCTTCTCCTGAAATATAGATCTTCATAATACAGTCAACCACCGGAAGAAGGAGGAAGGGGGAGGGTAAGCGGCCTTGCCTCACACTGGTTTTTGCTTAGAACACATCAGTTAGCTGACCTCCATACGCGACATTGCACTGTAGTTCGTCGTATGAACTCCGTATGATACTGACGATTTTCTCAGGCACTTATTAGTGTCGAAGTTACCATAAGGTCCTCCTATCCGCAATGTCAAGTACTTTCTAACAGTCAATGAAGTTGGTGTATAGTGATGAGTATCATTCAATTAATTATTCACTGATGATCCGTAGTGTCGCAATTTGGTCTGTGAAAGACCTTTCCCTACGGAATCCAGCCTGTTTATTTAAAAGTTGGGCGTCTACCGAATTTTTCACCCGGTTTAATGGCACTCTAATGCAAGCTTTACACGGTACTGATATTAGTGTGATTTCTCTGTAGTTCTCACACTTACTGAGATCTTTTTCTAGTGTCTCAATGAGGCATCCTTCATTACAGTTAGTCGGAACACTTTCTTCCTTCATGTACGTTCTGAATAAGACATGAGGCATCTTTGCAGTCACCCGTATGGCTGACTTCAGTGCTTCATTTAGAATAGTGTCAGGTTTTACTGCTTTTCTACTCAGAATTTGTCTGGTGACTATTCCAATTTCTTTGATTATTGGTGGAATGACGTCTATACGAAAGTCTGTGTGTGTTGCTTCAATGTCCAGTGGATTCAGTGGAGCTACTTTGTTCAAGAGCTCCTCAGAGCGTTCTACCCATCTGTCCCTCTTTTCTTGAATCTCATTGATTAATTCACCTTCTTTTTTCCTGACTATTTGCTCTTGTTTTTGCTATATTACGCGTTTGTAATGTTGTTTGTCAAATGCTTCGTTAGCTTGTCTTTCATCATGACCTTAACCAGATGGTGATGTGGAGCAGTGTCATTTCCTTTCCTACTTCACACGTTTTCCACTGACTTTCTAAACCTTTTGTTGACGGAAACATTATCGAACTGATTATTTGTAGTGTAGTCCAGTGAGACCTGTGTAGCTTTGTGTGTTTGGTTGTTAGGAGGATATAATGCCTCTTATAACCAGTTTGATGAGGGTACATGCATTTGCAAATCTCTCACTATTTACGTCCTTTTTTCATATCCCATGTCGTCTCATGATATTTTCATACCTGGTGATGTTCATTCCGACCGTGGTTCTTGGATCTACCATCAGGTTCTTTCCTTGAGAATTTGTTGCGATCGGTTGCAGCCCCCCATAAAAACTGGTCATTATCACTTTAAATAGTGGTCGGGCAACAGTAAATAACATTCATTTTAATTCCGTCCTTCTTTGTTTAGAAGAGTGTCCTAATGATCATGGACCTATGATATTTCCATCCTATGAACGCTTCTCCTGCTATTTTAGATACCATCAGTGCAACATCACGTGTGTGCAAAGCAATTGAATCGAGTATCATAGTATCATTTCCAAATGTAATATTTACTGTCGATCTCCGATTCGATCGGTTTCACTCATCCCTCAACCCGTTAAGTTGTATTGTAGAATTATGGTCTACTATGATATTATTAGTGCTCTAATAATAGACCTAATCCTAAATTTGTAGATTTGTCATGATATAACTGCCTAATCTGTAAGACCTTACGTGGAAGTCACACCATCGACTAAACCAACTCACTGTATCGTATCAATTACCAATACATGATGTAGAACAAGGTTAGGCTAGAGAAGGAACAATATATTTAATATGAATCGAAGATATAAGGTAACATTCAGCAGAGACCACGCCTGCATGGCCGAGCCATGCCACTCGACCAACTCCAGTCCATTCAATTCATTCTCCGCGCCTTCTCCATTGTTAGGTATTTCCCCGAGTTAAATATTGAATATCTATTTTCTGAGTAGTCTCGTGTTCACAGCTTTGTGGGTTGTGTGGCTATTGTCCAATGCCACTACAGTATCTCCACAGTTATTTGGCTGGCCATCTTGGTTTCCTACACTGTCTTGACATTCCACGTACCTATATTCAATGTTGTTCTGTTTGTTAGAAGGTGCATCGGTCTCCTGACTTTCGAATATCTCGGCCCTAGCCATAATGTGCCATAATTCTTCTACGTAAATATCCTTAAGCTTCTAGTTCAGAGTTTAAATGATTTGAATTGTTTTTCTGGCTAACACTTTTTAGCGAGTTTTTTCTGTGGGATGAGTTTATTGACTTTATGCCCAACTCTTCTTTAATGGAGCTTGAGACCGGCAGAGACTTCAAAAAGGCTACAAACGGAGTTGTCTACTTACGCATACAGATGGTCAGAAGTATGATATGGAGGGAGGCTTTTCAGCCCATGTAAAAATAATGATCATTAAAGACAGTATTATAACCCAAACAGGCAATGCCCAGTGTGACAGTTAGACAAACATTAGAAAAAGTAACACGTCTGCAAACATACAAGTATATATGTAAAAGTGTAGAACCACAGAGGCATGAGTATAAAAGGTATACGTGTTGAAGGCAACAATTTCTATGAAAAGAATATAGTCATCACGAAGGCCAAAACGACTCAACAGTCGCGTACTATCTGAGCTATCAAATTCTGTCCATAAGTTAAGAAAGGTAACGTAAGTTTATTGTACCATATGCTACACAAGAACTTTTTATTTATGTATTGGGTTGTATTCTAGCGGTTTGACTCTGGTGAAATTTGGAATGCAGCTGTATTCGCAGACAACACATAGTTAATGCTTTCACTCAAGTCAGAATGCAACAAAAAATTCACTCGTGACTTGCATTAACTAGACTAAATATTTCGACCTACTCGATATAATAAGACGTTTTCAGAATAATGTGCTTCATTGCAAATGTTTTTCCTGAAAAAAACAACACCAATGATGTCTAAATTCAGTTGTAAAGGGAAAGATGAAGGGACAATTTCTGAGTTTCCAATTATGAATAAGGAGTTTCATTGAGACATGGTGAATTTAACTCGTAGAAACTGTGTACGCTCCCATGTGTCTAAAGTGTAAGATGACTAGAAAAATAAGAGTACTGGGTTCGGACTTCGTGCGTTCCTTACTTCAAAAGTAACAAGATAATCGGTCACCACGCTTACTCTTTCAACCGGACAGTGATAAATCAGCGAAATCGACTAGCAATAATAAAATAGCCAACCTATGATGTTATCAGTAGTACTATTTCAACACATGAAAAATGAATAAAAATGCGACACACGAGCAAACAAACGATCAAATGAACCAATTGGAGCATTCTTAATCATTCATGGTGCATACGATAAACTCAAATATACAGAACTTAAAAGTTCACCATGACACATAACTCGGATCTACTACTGCAGTTATCTATTTTTGTTCCGTGATTTTAGTTCCAATAAAAGACTGTATAGGAGTCAGCAGGAGTTGCTGGATGTACTGAAGGAACGTGGCAGAGCTTGAACAAAACGCTACCCTAGTTTGTGATTATCATTCAGAAACCAGTAATTTTAGACATTGAAGATGACACAGGTATTCAGTGTTTGACAACGCTTATACCAACAACACATTCTAATATAATTCGTACCCACCAAGAGAAATCAAAAGTCAGAGTCGAGGAGATCGGAAGAGTATATTTGGCGATTACCAATATATCGGAATTCTCTGATCTAATCTAGCTAGCGATTGCGGTAGGTGTTGAGCACAGCGTTACCACACGTGATCTGATGCGAATGAATGACCGAGCGCCTTCAGCCAGATGAGTCCACTAAAACATATGGTCAGCATCCAATGTCGAAAACTTACAGAGCTACTTATTTTGGGGATTTATTTACCGCTACAACATATAGTGGTGTTCTAATACTACAGTCTTTTTTCCCCATCAAAAGGCTTGTATATCTGTTTCCTGAAAAATGGTAACATGGCACTGGTACTCCCCAGCCTTACTCAATCATTTCAATTCTTCGGCTACTTCAAATCCGAAGGACGCTCGTCGACCTTGAGACCGTTAGGTGTTAAATATTTTCTATCTCCTGTCTGCTTCTCGTTTACTTCTAAATCCCTCATCATTGTTGATTGTACATAGTACTCAATGTAAGTGTATGCTGTGAGTTTTGAGGGTTCTGGGACTCATCTGCCTCAGAATTCGGGATTTTTATTTCCGCTCGCATATTTGTTTTCCGGATTACTTCCTCGTTTTCGTATACACTAGTTCAGGAACACTGTAATTTTTCAACTCCAAATTAAAACTCGAATTTTCGCTCTTCTGAAGAAAGACAACGCATAGACTAGACATAAACCTGTTGACGTCTGAAATATATTTGCTATGATATGCGACGAGGCTTTCATGTAAGTCGCTATGCCTAAAATTTCCTTATTCTAAAATAGATCTTCGTCTTTAGATAACATGTCAAGCGAAAACGTCAGTTCCTGGCATACTGACATACAACCAGCAGTCCAGCATCACATCGACCTCAAGTCAAAATTGTGGTCAAAAGAAATTCAGTTGGATGTTTGTGATAGATTTAGTCTTTCAACACTTCTTGATTTTATGAATATGATTCGGAATTTGTCGTCTACTCACATAAAAAATAATCCTACATCTGAATCACCAGTGGATCACACTTACTTGAGTCTCCCTTCCAGTGTTTGTTTGGACAAAACCTCACTGACATTGCATTATCCTCTCAGTGATTATGGCTCTGTACACGATATTCTTTGTAAGAAAGAGGGCGGTTTGAACGAAAAACTGGTATGCGCCATTATGGGCCGAGTAGTATTGTGCCTTGACCAATTGCATAATAGTGGTTTACTTCATCGAGGTTTATGTTCGAAACATGTACTTTTCAAAAAAACGTTAGATCCTAACTCAAAGTCTCATAAATTAAGTGTGGTTCTCTGCGGCTTGGGAAGTATGGCACAGCTACCACCATCCTGGAGTACTGTGGCGCGAAACGATCTGCCCTTCCTTTATGTTGCATGGCGTGGTTGGAGGTTGCATGAGTCGTCAGGAGGTGAATCATATAGCCATCCAGTAGCATGGTACAGCCCGGAGTTATTGGCACAGGATTTTACTGGATATTCGTGGTCTTCAGATATATACAGTTTAGGTCTTATTTTGTACGAAATGTTCACTGGTCAACCGCCATATATAGGATGTCCTCCTTCTCTTATATTCCTGAAGAAAATGCTCCAGCTAGATTTCCCTCAACTTCACTATGTAAGTTCTATTTTTCTAAATATATAGACCCTCTTTAGTTGAAGAAATTACGTTCAAAAGCATATGATTTAAAAAATAAAAACTGATAAATTTGTATGTTAATTAAAAGTATTCGAATTAATGTACTAAGGATTTACGAAATAGTGCTATTTAAGGCAGATAGAACTAGATAAGCACAATTGGGCGTATTATATTCATGATTCGTAATCGGCGCCTAACCATGTACCAAGGCGTCGTCAGTTGATACAAATACTACAATTTGTCGACTGGGATCTCCACTGCTTTCCATCGGTAAAATCATGTGAAGATGAATTGTATGCGAATTGTACCTGTAAGTTGTCGACCAACGAAATTATCCATACACTGACCCCATAAGCAGTTTATATAAGATGCTCTTGTTAAATTTAAAATTTCATTAGATCAAGTGTGAAGCTTTTTGTAAATAGGTATAAGTTATTGATTACTTTGTTGCTAGTTTTTCTAACTCGTTAATCTCTTTTTTACATCCCACACCGTATGGATTTAACCATTAAAAAGGCGAACAATTTACTCCACAACGTATACAGTCCAGTCCTCTCACTTTCTATACGTAATCCAGGTTGGAAATGTTACATTGCTTTCGTTAAATTATCTTGTTTACGCAAATTCACCTCACTTGTTCACTTTTCGTATATATTGTAGAACGAAATGAACTTTAATCCATCAGCATCCATTTGATGCAGTTAGTCACAGTGCGACATGCAAATTATCAGTAAGGTTGATAAAATAGTAAAATGGTAATTACAGACACTATTTATTGTAGTTCTCACTATATACTGCTTGTCGACTAGTGATGAAACTTATTGAACGAGTCATTATCTGCCCTCCGATTCCTTACAAAAAATATTTTGTTAAAATATAATGGTAATCAGACTTAACTTCATCCATATTCTGAAGGCTTTCTGCACACAGCACACTAAACTTCTGTAATCTTTTGCTGTGTCTTTGCAACAAACTATCCACTATGTGCTATTCATAACTCTCCAACAACTAGCGGTAATCAGTTAAAGTTTCCCCAGCTCTTGAGTTCATCGTACACCTCAACTAAAAATGCCTCGCTATCTACTGTTAAATCTTAAGTTAAACAATGAATGATAGTGGATTGCAATACAATCAAGCGTGCCTTAATAATATTCCAATTATCAGTCCACATTTGAATAAAAGGGTCCTAACCGATTTTCTTAAATCAGGTAGATTATTTTTTTCATGGGTATGCTTAGTACCATCAATTTCGCATAGCTTGATAAACCAATGTTCACGTCTCATTCGATATACGAGTAAACGGGGAGTAATTGAAGAGTGGCTGTTCATTGAAATTAGGTTAGGAGTTTTTGTTACTTCTTTACAGAAAACTTTGCAGGTTCATTTATAACTATTAGATGTACGCAGTTAGTAACTTTTTGAAATATTTAAGATAGGTAGTTAGTTGATATTGAGACCAACTCCTAATATTTTTTTTATCCAAACGTATATTAAACTTCAATCTAGTACAATCAAACACCACCGGGTCGTTTTACATAAATCCAATTTAGTCCTCCAGACAGGTATGAAATTCATGTTACCGTTAGGTGTGCTCTTTTTATCTCTTTCCAAATATACTGGGTATGCTAGATTTTTCTTCATTTAACCTTATATAGCAGTGTAGGTAGGTGCAGACTATCTAGTTCCTGTCTGCGCAGTTATCGTTACTAAGGACTGGGTACGTCGGGCGACATGGTTTGAAACTAGTATCAACGGTTCAGATGCTCATTCCTTTATCCCTCGTTAAATAATGAGTCTTCCTGAATCATATTGTCTACGCCCAATCTTTACTATTGCTACTATTTTTGAATTACATTTAACGAGACAGTATTCAGCTATCTATAATAATAGCTAGTAAGATCATGTTAGCCTTTCACATTCAGTTATTAATTATATGTATCCTGACTTCGTTTGGACACCCGGGCGGTATCACAGCCCTCACACAAATCAAATGGGATTTGTATGACGCATATGTATCTGGTGCTCCCTTGTACCAGTATTTATGTGTTCAAATAAATATATATATATATGTATGAATGTTGCGTTTCTGCCATAGTTGTCCTGTAAATTTTTATATCCTACTGGGGTTTACACTCATTTTCGCTAAAATATTTTGTCATTCCATTTCTCCTGTTTATCTCCCATTTTCTTAACAAGAATGAAACTAATCCGCCCAGTGCTGAAATGGAGGCGATCTACAAAGCTTGTACGCATTATGATCCAAAACAACGTCCGTCTACAAAAGATTTACTAAATATGCCATGGATACAAAATGGTTTAAACATAGTTATCACAACTAGCGAGTTAGATTCCTTACGTTGAAATACTCAACTAATCAAAACGGTAGTTTGAGCAAGTGACATTCTCTATATTAGAAAACTTCTTTACAGTAATATTCTTTATATTTTTACAATATTTACAATGAGTTTATGAATCGAGTGTACAGATGTATGTATAAATCAGAATTAATACATGGTAGTCTAGTTTTTATTTGACTTTTATATCCAAACCATTTGGATAGTGTTTTTTAAATCTTTCAACAACTGCTGGATCAACCAAATAAGTTCCGTCCAGTTGGTTTCCAAGCGTGATCCTGTGGTATTTTTTTGTTAAAAGATTAAAACAAAAGTGAAAAACACTAACAGTATGGAATAGCACTGTTAATCTTATGGTGGACCATTTATTAAGTAGTGAGCAGATAGTAAGAATCAGGGAGCAGGTTGTTTCATCGTTTCCTCTGCAAACGCTTAAACCGAGCACGCTAGATCCATTTTAGGATCAAAGATTTAGGAAACAGGATGCAGTTTTCACATTCTATTGCCTTAATTAAGTGGTGAGAGGAAGTCCTGAACTCAAGTTTCGCATTAATTAGCACTGATCCATATGACTTGCCTGCAATCTTGAAGCAACTGATGCTTCCTGTGTGATTGAAACTCACGTCACCCAGCTTTACATTCTAGGATCTTACCGCTGAGTTATTCAAGTAGTAGTGATCAAGAGTATCACGGCGGACGATGCAAGTCCGGATCTCCGGTGGAGCACCAGTCCCCTCGAGACTGCAAGTACGCCTTGCTGACGAGGAAAAACTAGTGAGAAACCTAGCTCCAACCATCTAACATCTAAACATAATGAACGTGATGATGATTTACTCACACTATTAATCACAGCAACCTAATTAGTAAAATCCGATTACGGCTGAATGAATGACTAGGTAGACATGACACTAGTCGCTAGTGAGTGATTAGTCAAGTATAGTGCCTCACTGGTTGTACCACCACTTTCTGGTGAATCAGAATTTTCATATGTGCATTTATAAGAACTTGAAACAAACAATGAACTACTATTCATATGATTTTAATTGGTTTACTAGTAACTGACAACAAGAACAAAATCGACGTTGTGTAGATTTTTTGCCTACAATGAGTCGTGTTAGGCCGATTGTTATGTAGATGGTATTCTAATTAACACTCTCCTACCTTGAAATAACATACTACGCCTGATTTGTTTAATATGCTATTAGCTACTACATAAAATACTGAAAGGTCACATATATTGTGCGAACTAGATCTTGCTGTTAAACAAGTACTTTTTCATGGAAGTGAAGATATTTTTAGATAACTCAATAAATACTATTTTGTCATTTTGATTTATGTTTCCAGTGTAAATCTAAATTAGAATATACATGTCTGAAAAATGAACATGGATTTACTCTTCATATTGCATGTTTGACACAGTTTAATTCTCTGGTTTCAGAGTAAAATTAATATATATGCTTTTCTCGATGACTTTGTTTAGTTAATATACTAATTAAATGTTTAGATTCTTACCAGTTAGGCTGTAAGTTATGAGGACGTCCAAATAATTCGAGCTTGCGTGTACCAGGAGATAATCGTTCAATTATACCGTAGATTTCATCAGGTTTATGACTAGTTTCACGAACTTCAGAGACAATTATATCACAGTCGAGACCTCGATTTACACCCTTATGAAAAATACGAATATCGGTGTAAGAATATAATTAAAATTGTCCCCTAAAATAAAGTTAGTCAGACAACATACAACCCGGTACATATGTAAATTGGTTCACGTCGCCACATCACATTAACGCAGCGAAATGAAATTATCAACACAAGTAAGAGAATAGTAGAAATGGTAACGGTAGTAATAGATAAGATCAAACATAGACATGATTTAAAAAGAACCCATTTGTGTATAAAATGTATAAGGTAAAATATAAACTCAGTATCTAACGGTAGACAAATAGTGGATGCGTCTGCGACCGATTCCAATACATGTTACTCATCTCTAACCGTCGGTTGCAATGATTATGCGGACCCTAACTAGATGGTCTGCAGTCAATAGTCAATGCACTCATGGACCGCCCATCATTGGTTCCTTCTAACTTACCACAATACCAAATATCACGTCGAAGTAGGCGGTGACTGGGTATACGTAATGCACGCCACAACCACCTCAGTCGATTTGTGACATTTACTTAATGTCCTACGTCTGACCTAACCACTGCTCTTCCGGTGGTCCCAAAATATGGGGGCAATGCTTTAAACGGATCTGTGATCACGTACTAATAGTCTACAAATATCCTTAATTCTTAAAGGTCACATTTCGCTGTCGTCATGTAGAACAGAGAGGTATTGCTGCACGGTTGAGAGACGGGGATCTCATCTACACCATAAGTGGTGTAAATTAGCAGAAACTAATTGAGCTTATTGAATCCATACCGAAGGTTCATCACATAACAACCCACCAGGATTTATGAGACTTCCAAGATAAGTGAAGTAGTTGACCCACTGAACTACTTCATTTCCTACAGCTAGTTTGAGTGTCGACGCCAACCAGTAATGGTCATTCTTATTGAATAAAGAATAACTGATAAAATTTATTTTCAGCTTACTTTTGGGTTGCCTTTTACACCAACTAAACAATGTTCTTTGCCATGATTTAACCAATGTCCTGTACGTCCTGTCCGAATTAAACGTTGCAATTGGTTAGTTTTAACCCATATAATCTCATCTACGCGTTCGTAACCCCATAAACGTAAGCATTCTCGACCAAGTTCCATAGCTCTGTGATTTGAAATAAAAAATAACTAGAAGGTAATCATCCAAACTACAGAGTTTTGAAGCAAGAGTTGAGAAAGGTGTCAGAGTTTTTATTAAGGAATATGACAGTTTAAGACGCTACACACTACAGCAGCAATATGTCTAAAACTCAAATAGACCAAAAGAAAGTTACGTAGATCCTACAATTGCTCATGTGAAATCCAATTACAGGAAGTACACATATCTCAACAATCAGTTATTCCATGAACTAGTCTTACGCTTTAATTTGATGGTTATGAACGTTGTTTTAATCTACTATGCTAATTAGCATCACATGTCAAGATAAGTAGAGTAATACGCATATTTAACGATTGGTTCACCATTTAAATTAAGTAACATTCGAAGTAGATTCACACATCACATAATTTTATGGAACTATCCAATCTGAAACATATTTCTTAAACACAACCCGAAAAGTGGAACTTAAATATCTGGAAGAACGATTTTCAGATCTCCTGGTATAGAACAAAACATCACTAGTGTACGTTAAAATCGAGCTTATTAGTTGTAATTTAAATGAGAAAAAAACATTCACTGACCTTCCTGTTACCCATAGGAATATATAACCATCATCTTGTAAACAAGGTATATCTAATCGTCTCATCTCATCGTCTGACATTGTTCCATAGGGCAGTTCCATGTGTATATCCCATGGTGGATCAGCCATAATCACAGCAAATTTTCCAAGGATTGACATATTTATCAGTCGTATATCACAGTTAATCCACTAGAAAAGTGGTAGCAAATACTTGAAAATCAGTAATCTTATTCGCAGTATTGTGTATCAAGTGAGTTATTACTTTTTCAACAGTATATGCATTCTGAAGCACTCTACCAGCAGTGATAACCACTGCCTCTTCAGTAGTAGACAATTATGAAAGTAGGATAAAAAAATTATGTATTTTCCTAAGAAATGCCCTTCTTTAGCTGAAACGGACGGACAATAATAGGAGAAGTTCCTCTAACATGCGTTACGCGATACTTCCTTTTTAATTTCACTATTGTATTAATACTTCTTAGCCTCTGAGGGACATATGATTAAGTTTTGTTTACGAAATAGGACGAACGGAATGAACCTCTGAAGGTGCGACATCAGTGGCTTCCAATAATTCCATTGCTTCAAGGAAAACACATGCTTAGCAACTCATTTACCAAGTAAAAGTTTATGTAAATGGCTTTAACCTACATTGTTCATGTAGTGATACTGCAGTGAATGAGAACGCGGGCGAGGACAACTAGCTGTATTTGAATACAGAATTACAGAATCTCAGTAAAATCTGAGAACAATACAGTGAATACTTCATTTGCAAAATATCCATCAATTGTATTAGACTATATTGTTCCTTCATTTCTATACCAATCACTCTCTGTTCTCGTTCTCTCCTCTTTGATCTCAACCTTCCACCAGGTATTCCACTTTCGATTGGTGATACAAACTACTTATATCTGTCGACATCAGTAACACATACCATACGATTCTATTCTTTAAACTGCGTTGGATGAGGCGGAGCTCAAACCCTCAACTTAATAATACATAAACAACTAATTTAGCTACTAAGAAATCAAACAGCCTTCCATAAAATGTACCAAACTCTTAATACTTACTGAATTCAAGGAGGCTGTCGTAAACAAGTTATGATTGATTTATTGAAACATTTAATAATACGAGTTAAAAATTGATATGAAAACTTTAATAGACTGATCAAAATAACTTGGATATTGATCCTATGATTAATAGTTGTAGTTAGAAGTATTGCCCACTTGACATACTTTGGAAATTAATGATTAGACCGTAAATATATATTGCCTGCCTAATGACTGCGCAAAATTCAGGATATTGTCCACTACGTATTTCTTCTTGAAGAGCACATACCAACTGACCTTTGAGTAAAGATTCTCAAGTGTCTGTAGGATCGGATATGACCAGAGTTTTTAAATATCGATGGATGTAGCCGTGGTATTCCGAGAACGAACTTGTAAAACCTACAATAACCGTTCGAGTTTCTGACAGATGATTCGATCGTCACGTCTGATTACCCTTTCTACTTACCACCTGACATAGTCCCTGTGAGTTCCCTATGTTTACAGGCTACAACCCTAACCGAAACATGGCATCAGTCCATGAAGTCACTAGCAATTGAAATTAGTCATGTTGATTGGTACGGACTACCTGGTTGGGGTTCTTGTGATTATCGTAATCAATGATTACATACTTTGAATGACATGATTCAAAACCGTTTGCAATGGTGTATGTGCATTTATTCTTTGTTTTCCTTCAAATTCTAAATTCCTCACAACTGTTTTATCTCACTAATTCATACTTTCTTTTTGAGTTGTATCTTTGATATCTAATCTTTCCTATTACCACTAATACTGTTGCTAGATCTAATATTCTGACAATTTCAGCTCTCTGTGCGAATAGGGTATGGCAACTTGAACCGATGTAAATACGTAGAGTTATACGTTGTGACTGACAGACTGAAAAATGTTGATATGGGTGCGGTATTGAGTTATTGTGGGAGTGATAAAAAATGAAATAGCGAAGTAGATGAAGAACATAGCTTTGAAAGTCCTTCAGGGATGTTTTCGTCAGTGAAAACATGGGTGAGATAAATATGTTGTCACAAATTGGAAGGATTTTAAAGGAAATAAGACTGAAACACCGTGTTTTATAGAATAAATATTTATGAGTCCAGTTCATCGACTTATTGGACAGAGCAGTAAATACCTATACACATTGATAATTTTCTTTATAGTTGCGTGTAGGCTAGGATACTGCACGGACTCCCAGACCGAATCAGGTGGCTTTTTTAGCCCTCAAGCCTTTAACCTAGAGGCCTAATCGACAAAGCAGTGGGGCGAATTTAGGAGATAAGGTTTAGAATTGTAGTTTTCAATTATCCAAGGTAGGCCCTCCATATTCACTAGCCCGGTTCAAGCCCTGGCGGTGGCGTGACTGAAGAGACCAATTTATGTATAGTGAAAGCCATAGTAGCTCATGCCAATCTGGGCCATCTTTGGTCCCTTCATCATGTGAATGTGGCTGTAAAGGTCGGGTCAACAACGCGTGGGTGAGAGTAGTTTTCACAATTGATTGATCACTGGGTGGTGATCAATGTCATGCTTGTCTAGTCCTTATTAGTGCAGATCGAATGCTATCGATCATGTTTTGCTCTATGATTGTGAAACCTAGCCACTCTGAATGGAGAGAACTCTTTATGCTCGGTGATTACTGTTTCCGAAAGATTGCTGATATTCAATCCCAACGTCATGTTAGTAACCCAGAGGTCCGTCAACATACGTTTGGGCACAATAACGATAATTCAATTGGTTTCACTAACTTGAAAAACCGAGTTTAGTGACTTCGACACACATTACGAATACCGTGCCAATGAATTCCATATCGTACATTATTTGCCAACGCCTGAGCTGATTGGGAAAAGTGGTTTATGACATAGAGCCGGGGTGCGAAAGAAAGCTGTACAGGATTTAAATCTGTTGTTTTTTCACTACTCCTTAACTGAGATCCTAAAGATAGTTCAACACAATAGCTTGAGACATAATTAGGGATTTTACTTTGTAAAAGTGAGAGTAAGTTCTTGAACTGAAAGAATCCTTTCTGGCTGTTTATTTTTCTCAAGTGAACTGGTTCTACCATTATTTGCTACTCGCATTCACTAGTTTTTATTCATCTATTATTATGTTTATTTATTATACTCACTTTCCTTCCTCTATCTCTTCACAACCACATTTTCTTGTTGTGTATGGTGCACCTTTATACCAATAATTATGTCTTCAAATAAATAAATAAATGATATATATATATATATATATATATATATATATATATATATATATATATATATATATATATATATATATATATATATATAACGTTACCTGAGGTGGATATAAAACTAGTGATGTTCCATTGTCTTTTACAGCACCACCGCCACCAACACTGACACCGTCATCAATTGAATCTATTGAAGATGTGTTGATTTGTGACGATGATACTGATAATGATGACGAAGACATTGTATTTGTTGTAGAACTATTATCATTTTGATTATTTTTCTTATTATTTAACACATTCCGATTAGCAACACCACCATCTAATTGTTGATTAACACTATCTGTATAATCTATTGTGTAATGAACATACTAAAATAACAAAGAAAATTTTAAAAAATCAATAATAATAAGTAGGGTGACTTATGTGAGAATTAGGAGAATTGATCATTTAAGAATGGAGAGTGTTAGTTACAAGTCCCACCTCATTTCCCACTGTTTATTTATAATCTCGATTATTGAATTCACGTTACATTTCGTATATATATCCTTAGACTTATTCTGTTTTCTAACAGATTTATTGGATACGAAATGTTTTAGAAAGGTATGTATATATTTTAGACGAATGTATTAAAAAGATCACGTGTACGAAGAACAAACAATAGTGAGAAGTGAGAATCCTATATAGTGTATGGAGTGTGATGAATGGATTGATGTGACGATCAATAATTGTGCTCCGCGAATTGCTATATTGATCACTTGTATAATGTGTAGGTATGTGTGTGGATTTAATACATTAGTTGAATCCCTGTTTAAATTACTGTCTGAGTTTATATAGTCGAATAATGGTCATGCAGATGTACACAAGTGGTCTACGCACATAGAAATGGAATGTAGATAAAAGTAATTATCAAAATGATACGACTAAAAACGGCATACATTTGTTTATCAGTCGTGTTTTTTAATTTTTAAGACAAAAATAAATTTGCATAGTTTAGCGGTTGTGGAGAATGTTAAATTTTTGATTGAGATCATGAACCTATTGATATTAGACCATCATTGAAAACCTGGAAGCACTGGACGGCCGTTTCGTCCTATTGTGTGGATACTCACTGCTGAAGAGTCCCACAATGGGACGAAAAGGCCGTCCAGTGCTTTCAGGTTTTCAATAGGGGTCTAATATCAATCGGTCTATGATCTCAATCAAAAAAATTTGCATAGGAATGTACACAATGTGTTGTTTATTTCCTTTAGACACATAAGCTAGCGGTTGAAGTAGCAGATTGATATGGTAAACCAATCAGAAATGATTTAAAGGACAAGTGCATGTCATTGGCTTAGAAATGGGTTCATTCTCTATGGTATATATATATATATATATGAGTATTTGTGCATTTTATTCGGTAGTTCAATAAACTTTATCATCCACTCTCATATTTGCACTCAAGGAGTCAGTTGGAGGGGTTGGTGTGCATTATATTTCGGGCACCATCCAATACAACACGGATTCCAAATGGAGAAAACTAACCATAAACATTCCCATTCAATTAAATCTTAATGAATTGGATACCAATCAAATTTAACAGTATTCGAACCGTTAACATTCAACATTTTACTGGACTTTTTTATTGACTCACTCCCGATTGTAGGCAAATTCAGCTGACGAACACTAAATAGGACGAAACACGCATCATGGATTCGAATGTCAGCCATCACTCATATATACTTATAACGCTTGTGAGTTAATGGCAATATCAAGGTAATGCGCACAGGATGCTTCAAGCGATTGATTAATTGCAGTCCTAAACATCAATGGGAACATTCCAACAACCAATATAAATGAATTAGATAATATGAAGTTTTCTTACGTTATTAGAAAAAAAATTACAAAGATTCATGACAAATTTTTGTTCGATTTTGTAGTAACAGTGTAGCTATTAGTAGTGCTCACGATGTTGACTGCTTCATATGTATATCTGGGCATAAATTGATGGGAATGATAAATACGGAGACAGTTGAACTAGGAAATTAACGGCAGACGATGCGGCTTTTACAATATTTATGCAAAGCTATTTGACTACATATCATTAGAAGTAACACAATTATCCTGTACACGTTTGTGTACTCAGCTTTGAGTCAGACTAATTGTGTAAGGGCTAGGAATACTACTACTAATTAATTAGCCAAAAACGAACATGAGACGGGTTCAAACCTATAACTTACTGACTAAAAGCAGAAAACAAATAAATATCATGGTATACTACTTTATACTTACTTTACACGTGTCAACATGAAAACAAGTATTCAAGAATGAACAGTCTCCAAGAGATTCTGAAATTAGAAAAATAAGACTTTAAGTGAACTTACAAATTCATTTAGGTAGTTTCAGACTGTATCACAGAAAATTTAGGGTGAAATCATGAACTGATAATTATCGAGGACATGTGAAACCAACTCCGCCTGTAGCTCTTCTAGAGTTACTGCCGATCCCAAGCCCGGGTAAAAGAGGAGGCTTGGGTATGGGGTTAGAGACCCCATCCCATAGAAAACTAACTCGCTAGAAAACGCTAGCCAGAAAAAATGTCTGAAACCCCTAACATCCTAGTTGGAAGGAGGGGTAACTGCACTATAGTAGTATATAATGATTAGATACGTTGGGCGACTTAATGAAAAATGGATTGCAGTGACACAGTTGTGTCCGTTAGATAGTTAGCCTTCTGAGTTATGTAACATTCCTAATTTTTTTTATTTTTGTTCTATTCGAACTGCATAGTAGGTGATGTAACGGACAGTTCCAAATATTCTTTTCATTCTCGGGTGTACTACATTAATACGATAACAAGACTAGTCATATTATTAAAAGCAGTTTGATAAATTGGAATAAGAGGATATAAATGAATGAATACTAGGACTGAAGACATAAATGAAAAGAAAGAGTGAATGTATTTAAGTCACTGTGACCAATTTTTAGTAATTTCATACAACGTCTCCAATCATTATTCATGATAATTACATGAACTCAAACTAGGACGTTGGCATTAGACAGTGGCTACATGAAATGATTCTAAGTTTTAGTTTCGCCGACCTTATACATAATTATAACATATGTACTTACCATCCGTATGTGGGTGTATAATTTTACGGAAATGAAGTTTATTACACCGTTTCTTATCACCAGTTCGTGATTTAACTTTTGAGCATTCAGTACGGGTACCATAAGAACAAAACTGTTGTACTTGACTGCCTAAAATTAATATATATATATGTCTCGGTAAATGATAATTTAGAAAAAACAGTATCAATAAATAAACTGAATATAATATGTAATCAATATGATGAACAAACTATCCACCGAATTCTCAATACTGGAACATGATGATTATTCAGTGGTTTGTATTTACCAGTCACTTTTTTTAATTATGTGATCACTGGAAATTATTTTCTGAAAGTGATTTAATTTGATTCCTGTTCTAAATCTTTCAATCTTTCTTGGTACTCTTCAGTAGTGGACATTCGAATCTACGATCCTTAAATCTCTATCTATGACAATTGAGGTGTGTTCACTAGTGAGTAAGTTAGGGAAGTTTAAAGGGGAAATTCGTGACCGGATAGGATCACACCATGTCAGGAATAAGACAGATGATATTAGATCACAACAGGTGGAATTTTAAGGAAGGCAAAGGGTTATAGTAGACAGCTATTCAAATAATTAGTTTTCTAAAGATTTCATATAGTACTCGGTAGCGGTTTGAGAATTCTAAGCAATAAATATTTTGACAGGTCTGTTTCTAATTCGAACGCTTGACACTCACTTCATAGCTGGTTTCTAGTTTGCGAGAATTCTCCCACACTGGAGCTTCGAACGGTAGGAAAAAGGAGCAAAGTAACAAAAATTCCAGGGCTCATTGATGTACAGAAAACAACAGCAATTATAGATTTATCAGTAACCTTTGACCTCCGGAAGCATGCTAATTTAAGTACCAGAGCAAGAAGTCAATCAAAGTGTGATAATCTGTCCATCTACTAAACATTTTCGTGGCGTATGCTGATTGGACGAAATGTCCGCATATATGTCCTGACTAATGAAGACCCTAACGAGGAATTCTCGGCAGATCCCAAATATCTCTGTAGTTACATCTGTGAGTTTTATAAACTGTAAAGAGATTCACTGAAAAGCACTCATTCTATATAATGGTATAGAAAATAGTAAAAGCAATAGAGTTTAGTAAAAAAGATCTTGTGGAGATTGATTTGTAAAATATACTGGTCACAGATTGACCTCAGTTGAGGTATTAATGAAAACCAAGAAGTACTGGGCGGTTGGCCCGATGGTTCTACTGATTAAGCGTTGGCAACGAGACCTGAAAGTCATGAATTCGGTCTCTGTTGGGGTCACATGTGTACAGTGCTAAGTAGCCTCATACTGTGGCGAAACAACTGTCCAATTCTCCTTGGCTCTCAACGGTGCATCAACTGAGATCAATCTGTAACGAATAAAACACATGGAACCAATAAGTGAAGTGCTAGAGATTAGAATTAGATAGTTCTTCTTTGAGTATCTCACCTACATAATGAAGTGATATCGGTTGAAGGACAGGTGAAAAGTGAAAGTGAACTGGGCATTTCTATCGTAATAATTTTCTCTTATTACAGAACAGTTCACACCAACCGACTATTCACAAGATCTACTCAAGAACTATTCAACGTCTGTAGCAATTAGTCAAATAACTCAACATTAAAAAATATTGTCTCATCTCAACAATATCGTGATATGATTTTTTAGTCAAATATGCTAACTAATTAACATGTTTTTATTATGTATTTGATGAATTAAATAGATGCATTCAATTTAAATATACATAAAGACATACCTCCTTGAGTTCGGAAACGTTCGGTTAGAAATCTTTCCTGTAAAGAATATTTGAAGATAGAAAAAAGATATACTTTACATATATATCATTCCAGAAAGCTGTTATACATGGGAAGTATACATACTGTAACGTTAAAAGGGCCAAAGGTAAGAGTTACAACCACAAAAGTGATGTGTCCTGTGAGGATGAGAAATGGTTGAGTAGGAAGAGCAGACAGATAGATTTGTGTATTTTAATCTATATTTGTCCAACACTGGTTATAAATTGGTTGAATGAGAGCGTATCATATGATGTTCTCGGTCTATTGACTGAGAGACCAGTTTAGTGTTTGATTCTGAATCTTTAATTATCTATTATTTGGTATAGAGTGACCAAGTGTCCAGTGTAGGATCGTGGACGAAAAAACTTGAAATCTTCCGTCCTAACAAAACAGTATAAAATTGACGGATATACGCACTTAATAAACAAAACAGAGCATCGTTCTATCCACCCAACTATAGTTTCAAGATAGACAAACGAATATTTTGTGAGAGGTTCATTTTTAAAGGGACATCTATAAGACTTCAGTCAACGAAATCGCGTTTTTTTACATATATCAAACAATTTTGAATCGTTTTACTGTATTAGTTTGAGTGGTTTTAGCTTTGGTCAATGTCAGAACTAAAGGTACATTGAGTTCATTGATATACTGTAATCTAATGTGCTATGTCCCTGAAGTTATTATTATTGTTATTAAGACCAACTCACTTTTCGAAGTACAGATCTGTACAATCGACTTTTGGCTACACTCTAAGTGTGAGAAAGTGATAATGCATGGTTGGTTAAACTGAAGTAGACGTATGGAATTCGAACCTGAAACTCAGTGGCTGAAAGTCGAATATCTTAAACACTAAACCACATTTAGGTTTATAATTCCGATGTTCTTGAGAACAATACTCCATCAGTTGAAGCAATAGACCCCCAAATATTGGTTCATAAGTTCAAAGCAGTCGTTAGCACAAACAACATTCAACCATGAGTTTAAACCAGCTGTCTATATTTTACCACGAATAGCTCAATTGAGATACTTTTGATTCTTATACACAGTGACAAACGCTCAATTCTTTGCAGAGATCAGTAGTTAGAGACCTTGGGTGATATAGCTCAGAATAGTTCGCAGTGGCACAGACACACTCACTATTCATCTTCTTGATGCTGAATTCCAATTTTCCTTCACGAATACTTTTCCATTCTATCTTCTCTATCTTTCTACGGTTTAGTGATTTCTTCCATAATTCCTACACTATTTTGATGTCTTTTGTTACTTTTATGTTGTGGTGCTAATTAAGTATAGGAATCTAGGCCAATGAACATCTGTTTCACGCTCTATATTGATGATTTCTCTGTTTGTTTATCCATTGCAGTGTAATTATTTAATGACAGATTTCGTAAGTTTTTAAGTCAATATATTCCATCAGTTCATCTACAATAATTCTTTTCTAATTGATCAAGCAAAGAGTACTTGAATTAGAATACATTTATCTCGTCTTTTTCAGAGGATAGATAAACACGAAAGTATGGCAAAAATAATAGTATTTCTATTTGAAATGTCCACTATTTAACTTCAAGATAATTTGTAATTCTTCTTATAGTGGCCCTTGAATGCATACAATTAGTAATCATGACTATCCAGTTTAAAAAAATGTAAAACGAGTGAATTAATTACAATGTTTACCCCATCAAAAGATAAAAAACAAATGGTTGGGATGTTGAAGCACAGCTTCTGTCTTGTAGATGAACTGAATCGCAGAAGATAACAATCCTACCCAGATAAGCAATATACATTCATAAAGAAGAGATTAGAAGTTTCTATAAACTTGTCAATTAATCTCTTATTCAGTCGGCTACAATGTAGGACTAGGTACAAATATGCATCGGTCTAAGTTCCCATACCTCAGTAGCACAACAAGATCAACACTAAATTCATAGAAGCCATTACTTTAATGGAAGTAAAAACAGATTTCATATAAGATATTATACAAGGAGAAACACTTAGTTCGTAGAGTGAAAGGTATAAAGCAATTTTAATCTCATGGTTTAAGGGAGGATAAAGTGTATACACCTACGCCACTGTGATCCATTATGAGCCAATGTCACCCAGAGTCTCCAAGCACTGGTTACGATGGACGCGCTGACCCCAACCAAGTATTCTGCATGTACCGACACGGCTCAGACAAGAAGCTAGTGACCTTATGGATTGATGCCACGTTTTAATTGCAAAATAATAATGTGGAATACATGAAATTAATTCAATATATAATTACTTTGGTCGATTGCCTGTTTAATAATTCCATAACTTCTTCACGTATTCGTTTACTTTCTTTTTCACGTATCGTTTCAGCACCCAACAGATTTTCTAAATTAAATTCTATTTCATGATTAGTCTCTTTTATAGTAGATTGATAATGATTACATTTATCATTAGGTGGACGTTTATTTCTATCGGATATTGACTCATTATTTTCACATTGTTTTCTGATATTAGAAAAATTGGATTTCCGTTCACAGTCTATTGGCGTTGTTTCTGATGTATGGACTACGTGTTGATGTGATGTTTTCAATTGTTGAATAGTGCTATGAAAGAAATTAAGTTTTACAATACAATATGACAATTTTACATGTGATTTAATCGAGAACATAACACAGTGAGGTGTTATATATAGATATATACATGTATGAGCAGTAATTGTTACTATGAGTTTAACTATATAACATAATGGGTATTTATTAATTGTACATGAAAGAGAAAACTGTCGATTTACTTAATTATGATTAAAGTCAGATTGCGAAAGATTTGATCAACTGTGATACAATCACTACAAGACCTAGAGGTTGTAGTTTCGATGACGGAGTCAATGAAGTAAACTCCTATGAGACTTTTGGTACTGCACGACATCGCTAAGCGCCCTAAACAGTTTTTGTATAGTGAAAACGGTTCTTATCACAGACCTCTAAGCTATAATGAAACAGCTACTCAATGCGACCAGATTTTCAATGGTTCTCCAACTGGTGTCAATTCGTGACCAAAAAATTTGTTTGTTAACAAATAGCATGGAATTAAGAAGATACACTAGAAGAATATTCCAATGACCACTTAAATATTTCATAGAAAGACAAATGCCAATTAATACAGAGAAATGAATGACTTAAATATCATATTGTGAAAATCACCCATTTACAATATATGTAATTTGTCATTAAAATGGGAGAAAAAATGGTTCAGACTTTAAGGTCACACGTGGATAATTCGTATCAGAAAATCACAGTATTCAAGCCAACAAAGAGGCTTTACTTATTCAGTACAGAATAACATGAGCTAATAAATTTTTCCCACAGAACTACAGTGATCATATAACTCACTAATTCATCATAATTCTACATATTATCTTTGTTTATGCTTCAGTGACTAGTAGTGAATTATGTCTATATGCATGGTTAGTAAACGTATGATATAAATCTAATCAGTAGGCATAAACTTGGATTTCCAAATATTCTGCTCTAAAGTCCAATATTTATCGAGTTCAATTAGACCATGAAACTTCGTGAAACAGACAAATTTATATACTAGTTTATCAGTCTTTTACAGATGTTATTAAAATCTGTATTTTAGATTTAACGATTGCCCACCAAATGTCCTGGTACGACCGAGGGTGAGGAAAGTCAGCTCTCCCTCTCCAAATGCTCTCACATGTCCACACGTATACAACCACTGCCATGGAAGTCCTACTCACCGCCTTCTCGTGGCACCGGTGTTGTTTACAGGATTAAGTGAACGAAAGGCTAATGTCCAGCACTTTAACCTGGTTAGTGAACACGGAGGGTCCACTTACAGGAGTTGGAAAACCCTGATTCTAAACCAATGGTGCACATGGGTTCCAAGATCATGAAGGAACAAATGGCGTATGAACCAATTGTTGGTCACCGGCTACCATGGGAATACATCTCCTGACGTTGCTCCACTGCCTTGTGCATCAGACCTTTAGGTCGAAGGCTCTATGTGTGGCCCCCTAAGAAAATCACCTGTTTCGGTTCATGCACCCGGACAATATCATAGCCCACACACAAATCAAGTGACTTGTGTGGCGCCTATGTACCGATATTGATGTCTAAATAAATAAATAAAATAAGATTTATTGATTGAAATTCTTATTTTCGCGCAACGGAATTTCATCACAGATCCATTGCCCATACTTCAAGTAATGACTTTGACTTCTCTTTTATTGTTTACTTTGTCTTTGCCGTTATTTTCTTTCAGATATTACAGAATCAATAAGAAAGTTATGCATACGAATGAGTCCTATTAACTTAACTTTTATAGAAACAGTAAAAGGTCTTTTACGAAAAGTCAATCTTTATTTTATTATAGTAATTGTAGAACAAGTACGATTCAGGGTGTTGTTATCGTATATCGCTAGCTCACATTGAGTTTGTGTAATGCATAGAGCTAACATCTTATTTCTACCAGGCATTGTAGGACCGAAAATCCAATGTGGAATCCGATGACGATGTTCAGCTACCTTAATTAGAATGGGTGATACAAAATTCAAATATACGATATATTAGATCGACTATGGAACAATTATACATTATTTCCAGTTTCTGATATTGTCTTTAAATAAAATACGTTTTCGAAGAAAAACTTTGCTAGTTAAATATGGCAGTTGTATTACTTACCTTGACTGTTTAGGGATTGATTTTTCGAAATCAGCTGATCCAAGTAACCGAGTAATTAGTTAAGATCAACACAGAGGGTACAGTTGGTTGAAAAAAAGAGGAAAAATGAGTAAAACTTATCGAAAACGAAGTCTAGATTATTTCATCACAGGATGTTGATAAGATAAAACTTGGTATGAAAAATAGTGGGAATTATGAATCATAAAAACGCATCAGAATCATGTGATCAGTGATACTGTAGTGAACAGAACACGAGTGGGGACAATCGAATGTATTTGACACTAAACTACAGGACTTGTTAATAAAATCTAACAATCATATAGTAAATGCTTAATTTGCAAAATGTGCATCAATTGCCTCAAAATGACTCAGACTTCATTGTTCTTACATTTCCATACAAATTGCATTTTGTCTCCATTTTTTACTGTTCGATCATCTTGTCTTTCTGCTGCCAGACATTCTGTTCATGACTAATGTCACATACTACTTATGTCGATATAGGTAGCACACACCACAATACCATATGGCCCGATTTTTTTCAGTAAGAACAGTTTAGTAAACACTTAATAAACCCAAATTATTATGGACGAAATAAATGTTCCATATTTAGATTATACTAAGCTAGTTGGTCAGGTTATTCCCTGCAAGTGATATTTCACTAGTCATAGTAAAAACAGTATCGATCGCCTGTTTACACTAGTATTATTTTAGGTATCATTAAGACGGTGTAAAAATTTGGGCATAAAATTCGAATGTTACGAACGATTTGAGGTTTGGAGATAGTGTATACTTCTCAAAGTTGGGAATGGTAAAGCTCGTAGTCATATACAAGTTAATAGCTTAAACTAAGTGGTAGTCACAAATGTCGTGTTTGTCTAGTGATGATAGAATTCTATCGGTCTAGTTGTAACGAGGCCATTAGTCTGAATGACTTGACATCGCATAAACATAAGGGAAGATAAATTGCGAATGCATCCATGACGTTGCAACCGATTATAAGCTATATCACCCAACAACGCTAATCGTCACTCATGATAGTTGGGTGAACTCCAGCCAAGTAGTTTGTAACTACTAATATATAATACCTTTATAAATTCGAGTCGAAACTTCACGTGGATGCTCTTAGCTTCCTCCTAACTTGCACTAGCCAACACTGCATTCCATTCATTTTGTATCTCAATTTCTTGTTAAGTAGAACAATTATAAGTTTACATTTGTTACCCTGTAAACATGGTATGAATCTTCCCTTCCAAATAATTAATAAAGATATTCCAAGTTACAAGCGACCAGACAACATCTATGACACAAATAAACTTATATTTATTCTTTTATCACTAATGTTGTTCTTACTCTACCGGAAGTAACAGAGTTATACATCTTATTTGCAGTAGGAAAACTCATAATAAGTCAACTAAATCACTTACATGATTTATCGAGTAAATTACAACTGTGATCTGATTGTTTCGAATCGACAGTAGATACATTTTGCGATTTGTGACAGGGACATTTTCCAATATGATCACAGCTACTAGATGACGAATTCAATAATCCTGATAAAGAAGTTATATTCGACTGAGAATGGACTGAAAGTGTATCAGACGACACACTCGTTATATTATTATCACCGAGTTTTCGTTTCAATGCATTCTCGATAACAGAAACAGTTGACTGGTTAACATTAAAAGGTTTGTTAATTGAACCAATTCCAGTACTGCTATTATTTGTAAGTAAGGAAGCGGAAGACGAAGTTTTAGTAGAATGGGTAACAGAAGCTAAAAGTTGACGTCTTGCAGCTAAACGTTCACGTAAAGAATTCTGTTTAGCTTTAGCTGCTTCAACAGAATCTAAAGCAGAATTTTCAATTGGAACAGAAGCAGGAGTGGGATTGTGTGACATTTTCGACATCCCTACATGGAGGTTGAGAATAAAATGTTCGAAATGTGTTAGCGAACAAAAACATATATAGGTTGTCTTTCTTGAACTTAACGTTGTTTATCTCATGAATAGGAATAAACTGCATTGAAAACAACTTTCACCACAATAAACTAATGAATTTTTAATCGTATGTGTAGTTACTATCTGATTGTAACAACAAACCAACAATGGCTCCAGGAGATCTTTAATTTCGGTCAGACAGGTTTTATATAACGTTTAAAACAGCTTTGCTCTGGTAATTTACATACATTATTATTGAATATTACATTAGGTGCATTTATACGACCGAACAACAAAGATTTTTAGGAAAATAGAGATGTTAAAATAATCGACATTTCATGCAGATAGACATGACTGTTAAATGAGGATCACGAAATGTGCCGTGAGTTACAAACACCTACCAATTAATTAATTCTATGGTTTAGGATGTTAGTGATAAGAGTGACTGTTTAAAAATATAAATCGTTTAGTGGTGATGGGAATTTAGGAACATGATCTATGGAAAAATATTTTGTCACAAGTCACAGAAATTTCTAAACTATTAATACTATCCAGTTACTGCTCTCGTCAATGTAATAAATCAGCTATATCTCACAACATTAAACAAACCTCAGCAATGGAGTATTTATCTGTGCATCATCACAATAAACACTTCATGCAAGAAGTAGACAGGGCGGCGATATACTGGTAAGCACGCTTACTTTCGTAGACCAAACTGTTGCATAGTTTAGATTGACTAGAGGAAATGAAGCTTCCGAACGCATTTATTAATTAATTTATCATTAACCCTTCTGAATTGGTGTCTGAGAAAATCTCAGCACAGATTTAGAAAGGTTGCTTGACTTTCGTAAACTTGTATCTTTTGTATATTGTGACCACCGATTGAACACTGTCAAGGTAGGACGTAGGGAAATAGGAGAAGAGTGCAAATCAACCGGTGAGGTGAATATTCATCGACTGATGTAGTTCGGATATATTGAGTATGCTCAGCTAATACCTACCCCTATATGCAATCATGAGGAGCTGTTTGACGGTGAACTAGAGAAAAAAACGAAAAAGTGGAACTATTGGGTTTTGGACACGTTATTGAGGTCCGTAGAATGACCGTCTCCAACCAATGATCGAGGGGAATGCGATCGAATAGTCTAAATTTAGCGGCACGGCTGAGACTGACGACCAGTTACTTTGTATGTTGATAATATTTTCTGGTTATCTATGGTATTCTAAACTCCTCCTGTAGCTCTTCTAGAGTTACTGCCGGTCCCAAGCCCGAGTAAAGGAGGAGGGTTGGGCATGGGGTTAGCGTCTCCATCCCGTAGAAAACCAACTCGCTAAAAAAACGCTTACCAGAAAAAATAATTCAAACCATTTAAACTCTGCCCTGGGAATTAGGTCTTCATTTAGAAGAATTATGACGCTTCATGGTGAAAGCCGAGCTCCTTCGGAAGCCACGAGGCCGATGCCCCTTTTAACAACCAGAGCAAAAAATTTTATAGGTACATGGAACGTCCGGACAATGTGGGAGACCGGGAAGACCAGTCAAATAGCAACGGAAATGAGGAGATACAACTTGGCAGTACTGGGAATCAGCGAAACCCACTGGACCCAAGCTGGACAGAAAAGGCTAGCTACGGGAGAGATGCTGCTATACTCCGGTCACGAAGAGGACAATGCTCCACACACTCAGGGAGTCGCTCTTATGCTGTCCAAAGTAGCACGAAATGCACTTGTAGGATGGGAATCTCACGGATCCAGAATCATCAAAGCATCATTCAAAACAAAGAAGGAGGGGATCACAATGAATACTATCTAATGATATGCACCCACCAATGATAGCAACGACGACATTAAAGATCGATTCTATGAGCGACTGCAATCAATCATAGAGAAGTGCCCAAGAAAGGACCTCACCGTTCTTATGGGAGATCTAAATGCCAAAGTCGGAATAGACAACACCGGATATGAAGATATTATGGGACGACATGGGCTGGGACAGAGAAACGAAAATGGAGAAAGATTTGCAAATCTATGTGCATTCAACAAATTGGTCATAGGGGGCACAATATTTCCACACAAGCGTATACACAAGGCTATATGGATCTCACCGGACCACACTACAGAGAACCAGACAGATCATATTTGCATCAACAAAAAATTCCGAAGGACAATGGAAGATGTGAGAACCAGGAGAGGTGCTGACATAGCTTCAGATCACCACCTAGTTGTGGCCAATTTAAAACTGAATCTAAAAAAGAACTGGACAACTGGACAAACAGCAATACAAAGGTTCAATACAGCCTTCCTTCGAGATACTGACAAACTCAATGAATTCAAGATAGCTCTCAACAACAGGTTCCAAGCCTTACAAGATCTACTGAAGGAAGAAGAAACTGCTATGGAGGACAACTGGAAAGACATCAAGAAAGCATTAACTTCAAAGTGTCAAGAGGTTCTGGGCCTAAAGAAACACCATCATAAGGAATGGATCTATATAGAAACACTGGACAAGATCAAAGAAAGGAAGAACAAGAAGGCAGCAATAAACAACAGCCGAACACGAGCAGAGAAAGTCTAAGCACAAACTGAATACATAGAAGCAAACAAGCAAGTGAAGAGGAGCATTAGATCCGACAGGAAGAAATACGTGGAAGAATTAGCAACGAGGGCAGAAAAAGCTGCTTGAGAAGGGAATATGAAACAGCTTTACGATACAACGAAGAAACTATCAGGGAAATACAGTAAACCAGAGAGACCGGTCAAAGACAAAGAAGGCAAGCCAATCACTGAAATTCAACAACAGCGGAACAGATGGGTGGAATACTTCGAGGAACTCCTGAATAGGCCGGCTTCAATGAATCCACCGGACATCGAAGTAGCAAACACAGATCTTCCCATAGATGTCAACCCACCCAACATCGAAGTAACCACAAGCATGCTTTACCTTCTATTCAAAAAGATTCAGGAGGAGGAACAAGTGCCGATGGACTGGAATGAAGGACACCCCATAAAGATTCCAAAGAAAGGAAATCTGAGCCAATGTGAAAACTAAAAAGGCATTACACTACTGTCAATACCAGGGAAGGTCTTTAACAGAGTGTTGCTGAACCGCATGAAAGGCGCAGTAGACGCTCAACTTCGAAACCAACAAGCTGGATTCCGTAAGGACCGGTTGTGCATAGACCAAATTGCGACACTATGGATCATCGTCGAACAATCAGTTGAGTGGAACTCGTCACTATACATCAACTTCATTGATTATGAAAAGGCATTTGACAGTGTAGATAGGAGGATGTTATGGAAACTTCTTCGACACTATGGAGTTCCTGAGAACATTGTCAATATTATCCAGAACTCATACGACGGACTACAATGCAAAGTCGTGCATGGAGGACTGCTGACAGATGCATTCCAAGTAAGGACCGGAGTCAGACAAGGCTGTTTACTTTCTCCCTTCCTCTTTCTTCTGGTGGTCGACTGGATTATGAGGACCTCGACAACTGAAGGAAAACACGGAATACAATGGACAGCTCAGAATCAATTAAACGATTTGGACTTCGTAGATGACCTAGCCCTCCTATCGCATACACACGAACAGATGCAGATAAAGACAGCCAATGTAGCAGCAGTCTCTGCATCGGTAGACCTCAACATACACAAGGGGAAAACCAAGGTCCTCAAATACAACACGGAGAACAGTAATCCAATCACTCTTGATAGTGAAACTCAGGAAGATGTAGAATCCTTCACATACCTGGCAAGCATCATCGATGAACAAGGAGGTTCAGATGTAAAGGCGAGGATCGGCAAAGCAAGGCCCACATTCCTACGATTGAAGAACATTTGGAACTCAAAATAGCTTTCAACCAATATCAAAGTCAGAATCTTCAATACGAACGTCAAGGCAGTTCTACTGTACGGAGCTGAAACTTGGAGAACAACAACCATCATCAAGAAGGTAAAAGTATTTAAAAATGTTTGTCTACGCATGATACTCAACATCCATTGGCCGGATACCATCAGCAACAGCCATTTGTGGGAGAGAACAAACCGGCATCCAGCTGAAGAAGAAATTTGGAAAAGACGATGGAAATGGATAGGACATACATTAAGCAAATCATCAAACTGCTTTACGAGACAAGCCCTAACTTGTAATCCTGAAGGGAAGCGGAAAAGGGGAAGGCCAAAGAACACATTACGTCGGATAATAGAAGCAGATATGAAAAGGATGAATTACAACTGGAAGGAGCTGGAAAGGATTGCCCAGGACAAGGTTGAATGGAGAATGCTGGTGAGCGGCCTATGCTCCTTCAGAGGAGTAACAGGCGTAAGTAAGTAACTACGTATGGTATTCTAGTGGCCTCCTCCTACTATAGTACATCATATCTCAGAAACTGCAACACTGATCAGTAGATTGTGGAAAGCACTTTCTACTAAGGAACACTACACTTAATTGTCATTATCCTGCATTCAAACTTTTAGTGCCTTTAAGAGTTTATTAGATAAAGACCAAAATCTAGGAAACGTTCCAAATAGTACTATTTGGCAAAATATATTCTATGATACATATCTAATTAGCTGGAAAGACTAAATCAGTTACCTTACAGCTAAGGAACTATTTATTATAGCGATCACAATTTTATGGCATCTGAACTTAATTACCGAGTTATTTGGTGATTGAAAAGTTTGGCGAATTCCCTTGAAATTCACTGAAAAGGCCCCAACAGATCTCAGTCTTCCTGTTATTTGTATGCATAACTACATAACATAATTAAAGGTTCATTTGCATTCAGTGAATACAAATTCCAAAAAACCAGGTAGGAATATAGATTAATTGGATGAATGGAGACTAGCCCGGACAATATTATAATATTTTCATTATAATGACACTTGAAAGGACGTAAGACAAAAATCATGGTCTCAACATAACATATTATTTGTTTACATTAATATGCGCATAGTTATATGAATACATATGATCATATTTTGTTATTTACGGACCAAGTATTACCGGTAATACAGACGAATGCCCGTCCTTAACCAGAAGGGTAACCTTCAGCTTTGCAATGTTGCTTCTCTGAATACTCAATATACAATAACATTTTGAAGAGTCGGTGTGAACTAATTAGTTTCATAGATCCCTCAGGTTGTGGTAGGTGTAGTTCGAGCCGTTTGATGTTATTTATTGTGTGTAGTATAGTCTTTTGGCTGAACTAATCCTTGTAAATGTGACAGTCACTTGGAAGTCCACCTGTCCTGAGTTTAAGCGAATGCGTTCCTTATGTGGTTAAGGGGATGCCGAGACCGTCAACTACCAAGTTGTACTATCGCCGACGGATTGTTTGTGACACTCAAAATTTTAAATGGAAATATAAATAAGTGTAGGGAGGACAAGGGTTCAAGATCAGTAAGTAAATTAATAAACGACCTGCTTCTACTCCTTCGAACTTCGTCGAACTCGAGGGGCTGAATAAAATATATGATGACATGCAGCTGATCACTGTTCCACTACGATACGGCAGGGATTGTCACTGACTAAAGAAATAATGGATCCTCGGAACTTAAATTCTTGAAATATCATCCGGGTAGCAAAACGAATAATACTGTTGCTTTCGGTTTGTAGAGGTGAAGAAATCCATAAAAGTGGATAATTTTGTAAGTCTTCGACGTTAAGTCTGACGAATATAGTTTTGCTGAATACGTCTCTAGCTTATAACTCTCACACAAGATTACGTCTGGGTATACCGTCATGCATATTTCTTACGATAACTAGTAGACTCAGATTACACAGTTCTTAACGATCAGACCATTTCTCAAATATACCTGACCATTCTTTTACCTCTAACAATTGACTTGACTGTCTTTGAGATCCCCAAATAAAATGAATATTCGTACAATAACGTTAGCAAGCACTGTAAAATCAAGGAATTTTTAGGTTTTTGAGAGGATGGTTGGATGTTGATCTTATATACACGGACGGTTTAAATATGCGACAAATTGGGTAGTATAAATTTGTGTGGTGTCTGATCTAGTAAAGTCATCAACACAATTCTCTTTGATAGAGCAAGGCGCTTGGTTTAGGGCCACCACTACTCCTTGTGATTATCTAATTGTGCATGTCCTCGACCCATAGTTTTTGTTACACGGTAGACATTTTGGACTCGATTCCTTCCTCTCAAGTCCTGTTGTTTGATATTATGCTCAAACACTCCTGATCTTTAATAGTGACTCTAGGTCTTTAAATAAGACTTTATTATGAATACTGTGTTCTTATTCATGAGGTACAGGCTGACATTATAACGGGGCAGGAATTTTAAAAATGGAACTTTCGGAACTGTTCTTATTCACTCACACACTTGAGCTCGTCATTCTTCTTAGAAGCATAGATCACAGACCAGGACTCTCCAACTGATCCTGCCCTGGGCCCTCAGCTCCAGTTGCTTCCAACTACTATTCATTCACAAGTGTCGTTGTTAATTGCTCACTTATTATTATTATTCCTTTCTTGAACCTTGCGCAGGGTTTTGAGTGAGATCCACTTCTTATGCTGATACTTCCTGTGGTCCGAAACATTCTGGAATGTCGAAATTAAGGCTTCTTTGATCCTCGTCCAGTTGTTCTACATCGTAAATTCCTCTTCGTTGAGTAGATTTTGTGAGGCTTGGGACCTGTTGTTGAGGCTTATCTCGAATTGTTTGAGTTTGTCAGTATGTGGAACGAAGGCTGTATTGAGCCTTTGTAAAACTGTTGTTCCAGTTCTTCATTGCTCATTTAGCTTCAGTTTTTATCTTGGCCACCAATAGACTGTAATCTGAAGCAATGTCAGCTCCTCTCCCGTTTCCCATGTCTTCCATTGATATTACGGATTTTCTATTGATACAAATATGATCGATCTGGTTCTCTGTGATGTCATCTAATGAGACCCACGTAGCTTTGTGTATGCTTTTGTGAGGGGATATTGTGCCACTTTCAACCAGGTTGTTGGATACACATACATTTACAAATCTCTTGCCGTCTTAGGTCCTTTCTTCTAGTCACTGAAGAGCGTATTAGATTCAGAAAATAACATAAGATCACTTAATATAGTGATATGATTGGTTTGACGAATGAGACTAAATTGGATACAATATTTTTGACGAGGGGTCTTAAACAGACAAAATTTAGCTCATGTTTAAGAAATACTGATCCCGCAAATAACCTGATAATACCTAACAACTGCAAAGAAGCTCTGAAATCAATCTCCTCATTCGTCTATTTTATCTCTTGTGTGGTGAATATATACTTTGATCACAGATTATTAAGCTTATTAATTCAATCTTACAAGTGAAACTGAGGACAATCATCCTTTCCCAATGCTCATTAAAAGCTGTTATGTCTTGTTGTTTGAATGCGACTTGTTATATCTAGTCGACGCTGATTGTTATGCCGGAAACGCTTATCACATATACTCGGAACGACGAACCTCTGCAATTCCCACGACACGAAAGTAGGAACATAAGACTAGTATAAGTGAAGATTTATTGACCCCAAAACACGACGACGATGGTCAAGAACCCACTCGTTTATGTATTGATTGTACACACAATTTGTTTAATAATTAAGATGAAATCACACTTATGAAAAATAGTTAGACTTATAACAAATCATATACTGAGCATAGTTCATGTCAATTAAATACAAGAATATCGTATACTATACACAATAAAATATCATACGAGAAAAGAACACAATTGGTATACTAAATGATCATCACATTGAACCAAAACGGAAGTTATGCTGAATAAAACTCATAATTAGTAAATCAATCGAATTTTGACTTCTTTCCATCTAATCAGACATGCGATATTTAGCATTCTTGCTCACTTTACTTTTTTCGTGCCTCATACAAGAGTGCGATTATCACTGGAGTCTTTATTTTAATCCTCTAAAGCTATCTACATACGTCTTCTGGGAATAAGATACTGTAGTGCAGTTCAAATTCTCTTATGAAAAAGCACAAAACATAGGAGAGCGAGCTTGAAATGAAATCCTTAGTGAAAGTTATGTTCTCAAATCCAAAATTTACACAGTAAATGAAGTGCAAAATGCTATATGTTGCACAGATATTGTACAGTGAAAAACAGATGAGCTACAATTTCACGGAAACATCTCATTCTAAAAGTTATCCTTTATTTTCTTCAATATTCATTGAGATAATGACTTTTTACAATAACTACTTTGTGGCACACTATGCGTGTTAGTTTACGGGTTTTCGCGCACATGTAACATATTGTCGTGGATTTTATGTGTCGTTATTTATCAGCTACTAACAGCCTTTTTTCCATCATACTTGTTTTCATTGAGACCATAAGTGTGGATGCCCACTGCTGAGGAGTCCCATAACAGGACCAAACGACCGTCTAGTGCTTCCAGGTTTTCGATGGTAGTCAAACATTAATCGATCCATGGTTGCGATTTAAAGTCATTCATTTCTACAGCCCTATACCGACAATTACTTATTTCCCTGATTGAAATCATGAGTCAATTGAAGCTAGACCACCATGGAAAACCTGGAAGCACTGGACGGCCGTCTCGTCCTAGTATGGAACTCCTCGGCAGTGCGCATTCACGATCCCGCAACCCGCAAGATTCGAACCCAGGACCTATCAGTCTCGCCCCAGGCGCTTAACCAACTAGACCGCTGAGCCGGCATCCAACGGTGTTAATGTCTAACTTCAACCAATCCACGAAGTTGCACCAACGTACACCATCGTCTTCAGTGAGTTGATATCTCACAACAGACCTGGTTGAAATCCACTGGTAACGGCTTCTCACTGCTGAGGAGTCCCATACTAGGACGAGACGGCCGTCCAGTGCTTCCAGGTTTTCCATGATGGTCTAGCTTCAATCGGCTCATGATTTCAATCAGTGGAATTTCTAAAAATCTCCACGAAACCCCTTCTGATGATTATTTATTTGTTTATTTTCACTAAGGCTTTCAAGTCAATGTCAATTTAAAATATTACATCATAAATCTAACAATTCATCAGGCGACATAATTTGTTAACCAGGCTTTCAGGCATCACCTAAGTGACCTTGACCTAGCTTGTGTCACCGTTAGTTAATATGGGATTCAACTGTACAGTATGTGAGTAACATGAAAATACTATCAATTTGCATAAGTAAAAGGTAAAAAATCTATTAATATTTAGTGGCCCTATATCTGACTAAATGTGGATCGTTTCTGATTGCTATCAAATAATTGCTGTCGAAATATACATCCTAGCTACCCTCGTATATAATTATCGGTTTAATTCACGTTAGTGAATAACGCGAAGGAAGCGTATAGCAGAGAAAGCGGAGAAACGGAATGACGCGCAGTGGAGAACGCATGTGAGCCTATTCTTTTCTCACCTATTCGCTTCCTTCGCTCTATCCCTCCAATTGTCTGTGCAGATCAAAGATTGTACGAAATGAACATATTCAAAACTTCATTCTCGTATTTGACTTATTTAATTGCGTTATACACTGACACGAGGTAAGTCGATAATTATATACGAGGATTGATGATATGTATATCTCAATAACAAACAGTCATACGATATTACTGGAGTAAGGTATCCGGCCAGAAAAATTATACTTTGAAATTTAGACAGACCTCTCATTATAAATATATCAATATTTCTTTGTATCAGTTAAGATGTAAAATATAAATGTGTAACATGTTTTTCATTAAGTTCACCAAGTAATCCACATAGGGAAACTTTGAAATTCCAGTTATAATTTCATGATATTGACAATTTCTCATGACATTGTTGTAAACTCCTTCACTGGTTATAGTTTTAATAGAGTTCACTTCGTTTAATGTTATTTAACTATCCCAATACCTTAAAAATACAAATCAAATAGACTTCCACTTTCTACTTCAATATAAGTTATTTTTGGTTAATCTTAGTTCAACATTTGAGAGTACTTTCTGTAGATGATGAACCGACTGTTGTTTGATAACCATTATAAAATTTGAACACACTGGATAGTCATTTCACTCTAGAGCTTTAAAAACTATTTTGCGGGCTACACACTATCTTGACAAGCGCAGA